AGGAGGAGGAGGAGGAGGAGGAGAAGAGGAACGCGGGGCACCGTCTTTTCAAAACGAGGACCCAACACCACAGGATGGTTGGGAAATATGGGAAAATATGGGGATTTTTCTTTTTACGTGTGTGTATTTATTTGTGTGTCCCAGGGCCCCTCCAAAATTGGCGAGCGAACAACATGCGCCGCGTCGGGGCGGGAGTGCCGCTCTCGGCGCGGCGCCGGGCCGAGGACGATACCTTCGGCCGGTCGCGCGTCGAGGAAGCTGCATGCGAAACGGGTGCGCGGAACCCAAGCGGGAGCTTAATGTTCCAGGAAAAGTGCGCCCGGCGCCTTGGCGAGAGTGTCATTTTCGTTCTTTACGCGTGGGATGTGCGCCCTGCGCCACTCCTGCCACGCATTCTGCAGCACGGACGACATAATGTCAGTGTAAAAACGACAAACGTCGATCTTTGGTTTGTTTTTTAGTTTGGTATGATATGGCCTGACTGATGGGGGTGCTATCAGCCGGTTTTGTGGCAGAGTGGGCGTATATTCTAATAGTGAATAAGGATCAGACGAGGAGGAGGAGGACGAGGAAGAGGAGAAGAGGGAGGAGGAGGATGAGGAGGAGGAAGAGAAGGAGGAGGAGGAGGAGGAGGAGGAGGAGGAGGAGGAGGGAGGAGGAGGAGGACGAGGAGGAGGAGGATGAGAAGTGGACGATGATGATGCTGATGATGGTGAGGATGATGACGATGGTGATGATGATGCTGCTGATGTTGCTGATGATGTTGCTTATACTGGTGAGGATGATGCTGCTGCTGCTGATGATGATGATGATGAGCGTATGCTCTAATAGTGGAATCTAGGTCAGAGCCAGGAGGTAGAGGAGGAGGAGGAGGAAGGAAGAGGAGGAGGGCACGACGACGATGATGATGAGGATGCAGATGATGATGATGCTGATGATGGTGATGATGATTACGGTGGTGGTGTTGTTGGTGGTGATGGAGGTTGTGGTGATGGTGATGATGATGACGATGCTGACGATGATTGTGGTGACGAAGATGATGACGATGAGAATAACGACGATGATGTTGCTGCTGATGATGATGCTGAAGATGATGACGATGATCATGCTGATGCTGATGATGATGCTGAGGATGACGATGCTGGTGATGCTGACGATGATAACGATGATACTGATGCTGATGCAGATGCTGAAGATGATGTTGATGATGCTACTGATGATGCTGATTAGGATGATTTTGATGATGATGCTGATGCTGATGATGCTGCTCATGACGATTCTCATGATGATGATGATGATGATGATGATGATGATGATGATGATGCTGACGATGATGGTGCTGCTGCTGATGATGCTGATGATGATGCTGGTGATGGTGATGGTGATGATGATGACGATGATGGTAATGATGATGTTGTTGTTGTTGTCGATGATGATGATTATGATGATGCTGATGATGCTGCTGATGATGATAGTAATGATCCTAATGATGCTGATGCTGATGATGCTGATGATGGTGCTGCTGCTGATGATGCTGATGCTGCTGATGATGCTGGTGATGGTGATGGAGATGATGATGATGCTGCTGATGATGATGACGACGATGCTGATGATGATGATGATGATGGTGATGATGATGATGCTGATGATGATGATGATGACGATGATGATGATGGTAATGATGATGATGATGATGATGATGATGATGATGATGATGATGATGATGATGATGATGATGATGATGATGATGATGATGATGGTGATGATGACGACGACGACGACGACGACGACGATGATGATGGTGATGATGATGATGATGAAATGATGATGATGATGATGATGATGATGATGATGATGATGATGATGATGATGATGATGATGATGATGATGATGATGATGATGATGATGATGATGATGATGATGATGATGATGATGATGATGATGATGATGATGATGATGCTGATGATGATGATGATGATGATGATGATGATGATGATGATGATGCTGATTTTTATTCTGATGCTGAATCTGATGAGGCTGAGGAGGAGGAGGAGGAAGAGGAAGAGGAAGAGGAAGAGGAAGAGGAAGAGGAGGAGGAGGAGGAGGAGGAGGAGGAGGAGGAGGAGGAGGAGGAGGAGGACGAGGAGGAGGAGGAGGAGGAGGAGGAGGAGGAGGAGGAGGAGCAGGACGAGAATGAGGAGGAGGATGAAGAGAAGACGAAGAAAGAGGGGAGAAGAAGAAGAAGAAGAGGAGGCGGAGGAGGAGGAGGCGGAGGAGGAGGAGGAGGCAGAGGGGACGGGGCAGTTCAGGGAGGGCGGAAAAGGGGCAAGAGAGGGGCGAGGGGGCCGCCGAGACACGGCGGGCGGCAGCAGAGGCGCGCCGTGCACCCGCCGGGGGGACGTGGCAGGCCGACGCCGCCCTCGTCTGCCCTGCCGTGCCCCGCCCCGCCCGGACGCCGCGCCCTGCCCTGGCGCTGCTGGGGGGCCACATGCGAACCCACCCCTTACCCCCCCCCCACTCCTCCCTCCATCCCTCCCTCCTCTACTCCATCCTACCTCCCACCTCCTACTCCCTCTCCCTCCTCCCTCCTCCCTCCTCCCTCCTCCCCTCCGCCTCCTCCTCCCCTCCTCTCCTCTCATCTCCTCTCCCTCCTCCTCCTCTCTTCCTCTCCTCCCCCACGATTTATGACGGGGTAGGGTCGGAACCGTCTAATCCGGGCCGCCTGTAGCAGAAATATGCTGAGGTGGCGCCGAGTCGTGGCCGCTCGCGGCACCGGAAGCCTGGGCCGCTCGCCCGCGAGCTCTTCGCAGCTAGGGGTCCACATTCGAACCCTACCCCTGCCCCCCACGACTTCTGACGGGGAGGGTGGAGTTCACTTCGTTCGGGAGCTCCCGAGCGAAGTGAACCCCACCCTCCCCGTCAGAAATCGTGGGGGGCAGGGGTAGGGTTCGCATGTGGCCCCCTAGCTGCGAAGAGCACGCGGGCGAGCGGCCCAGGCTTCCGGTGCCGCGAGCGGCCACGACTCGGCGCCACCTCAGCATATTTCTGCTACAGGCGGCCCGGATTAGCAGGTCGACCCTGCCGAATCAAGGGTGCCCTTGTGTCCTGTGTCTCGCGACCCATACTTTCAACCTTCCTGTGGCAATGTGGCCCTCGGAAGGTTCTCGTGTCCTCTCGCGTGTCCTGTCCAAGCGAATCCGACTGTATATGTGCGTCGCCCCCCAGGGGCGACGCGCGCACCGAGAAGTCTTGCAGTATATGCGCCGTAGCGGGCGCTTTCTGGCCACACCGCTCGGGCAACGATATACTACGAGATGGGTATACGATGTGCTCGGGTCCGACGCGCGCCTCCAGGAAGACATATGGCACTAGTATGTCTTTGTGCCTCCCGACGACGGCAAGTTTTAGGCCTCTGGGGGCCCGTCTCTGGCCTCGCAGTAAGAAAACCCACCTGCGTCGAGAAACCGGCTCACGGGACGGGGATGGCAGCTCCAGGGGCGCACGGCGTGGGAGAGTTGAGGTGACGAGGCACGGGCTTCCTTCCTTGCCAGATCGGTCCATGCGGTCGGGGGGAGGCAAAGCGACACCACCACGACCAGCCGGACCCCCCCTGGCGAGTAGGTCCACAATGCTTCCCCGAGCGGGATATATAAAGAGGTGTCCCGACCAGGACGCCCAAGAGCGGTGACGCCACACCACCACGGGAGCCTCCCTCTGCTCATCGACCATGTTTGTTGGTGTCGTCCTCCCTTGCCCATGAAGGTCCTGCGGCCTGCCGATCCCAGCCAGGGCCGAAAGACCAGCCGGTTTTTCCATTGTCGCTGGCGAAAAAGCGGCCTTCTGCGAGGAGTGGCCCGCGCTCGTCGGATCTGGCCGGCGGCGCTCGCCTGCCCGGTCTGCCTGTGCTGGCCTGTCCTGCA